CAGTTTTTTAGCCTCTGGCTCACACATTTTTACCTTAGCTCAGGAAGGAGGGCTCCAGAGCAAACTAATTGATGCAGTAGCCAAATCGCTCGCTCACAACTTTAATGCCAGTAGCTCACAAAGTAGAATTTTTGCTCACAAGACTCCACAGCTTAGAGGGAGCACTGGTCAAGGGTCTCCAATATGTCGTCTGTGGGCACCACGGCGCCCACGGATACCTTTCTTGGTGCCCACAAAGTGTTTTTAGAAAATGGGTGGGACTCTTACGAAGCAAGTTTCTTATTTGCCACGGTTAAAATAACACTGCGGATAAAATAACATGCAGATTAAAATAACACTGTTTCAGTGGCAGCTGCCGCCACAATGTTCATTTTCTTCTCTCTTACCCCTCTTTCCCAGTGCATCTTTTAATTACCCTCTTCTCCCCCACACTTGGGCTCCCTCTGTGTGTGTGGCACCGCCTCCTGCAGCAGTCATTTCATGGTTGGCTCCGCCTCCGGTGTCAGCCATTTTGTGATTGCGCCCACCATCAGAACTCCAAAGGTGCCCATAGGCTGAAAAAGGTTGAGGACCCCTAGTCTACATCAGCTCCAGAGGCAAATATTTTCTCTTCACAGGAAGAAGCATTTGGGAACACACTGTGCTTGACAAGCATCGAGCGTTTGGTTTAAGTGCAACCTTTAACCTATGTACTCAGTTCTTAAGTTATTCTAAAGCAACTAGGCAAAAAGGAATAGAGATTGTCGCTGTCAAAGTCACTTGCACTAAAAGCAGACCACTGAGACAAGAAGTTGTTCTTTTCGAAACAGATGTGCAACGCAGCCAGAGGGGCAATGGCTCGGTGACAGAGCATCTGCTTTGCATGCAGAAGGTCCCAGGTTTAATCTCTGGCAATGCCCCCTCTAAGATGTAGAGTCTTGTGAGACAAAATTCTACTGGCATTAAAGTCATGAGCTACTGCATGAATTAGTTTGCTCTGGAGCCATCCTTCCTGAACTAAGACAAAAATGTGTGAGCTGGAGGCTAAAAAAACGGAGCTAGCTCACACTAACTCAGCTTAGAGGGAACACTGATCCCTGGTATCTCCAGTTAAAAAGATATCAGGTACTTGTTGATGTAAAGACTCTACCTGGAAAGATAAGGTAGTAGGTGGACTCCATGGCCTTGTATGGAGCTCCCCCTCTGTCACCCAACTGGGGAGCTATTACCAGCCAGTATCGTCATAAAGATAAGGTAGTAGGTGATGTGAAAGATACTACCTGGAAAACTGGGGAGCTATTACCAGCCAGTATTGTCACAAACCAATGGTAGCTACAAGGTGTTAACTAGGGATGAAAAAGGGGAACAAACTTAACCCTGAAACCTAGGATCTTGCTGTCAGGATCTGTTGAGAACTTTTTAATTTCTTCAGTTTGGGTTCCTCAGATGTGATGGGATTGAGTCAAGCATGAAAATGAAATCCTGGTGACCATCTTGGCATCAGTTTCAATTATGCTGGATTAAGTTTACAGAACACTGTGAATGTTTAAGGTTTAAGTTGTCAAGACAAGTCCTCTTACGTTCCCTTGCCTGTGAATTTTAGAAGTGAAGCTCATATGGTGAGTAATGGCTGTCAGAGCAGTATGTGCTCCCAGGTGACCTCCTCAATTTTGATGCTAGGGAAGCTTAAAAAGTTTTTGTTTTCTTACCTTGATAAGTACTGAATGTGCATTTGATTTGCTGAGGTAAAGTATCACCCATGATTGGATACCTGTTGATATAACAATATGCATGCTTGCAGTTGCCCAAGGTAGCATGCTATATTTGTTAAAATATTTATGGCCTGTTCTCCAATCAAAGATTATCAACATGACTAATTACAGATTTTAAAAACGTATTTAAAAATCAAGTACTAGGTAAAACCTAGTAACAATTAAACCACAAGAGTCAACTATGCTCAACACACATCAAATCTCAAGGGAAGGTATAAAGACTAGATCAGCTCCAACAGAACTCAGAAGTAGTCTTGAAATGCCAGGTTTTCAACACCTGTCGAAAAGCAAGCAGTGACAAGGACAAGTGGATTTCCCCTGGATAGTGCCCTATCTTGTGTTCTAGAAGCTCCTTAAATGTAAATGCTGTTCTCCTATGCATGTTAACTAGGAGTAAATCCCTTTAAATTCAGTTGGAATTATTTCTGAGTAAATGTGTTTAGGCTTGAGAGCCAGTTTGGTGTAGTGGTTAATCTGGGAGAATCGGGTTTGATTCCCCACTCCTCCACTTGTAGCTGCTGGATGACCTTGGGTAAGCCATAGTTCTGTCAGAGCTATTCTGAAAGAGCAGTTTCTGTCAAGAGCTCTCTCAGCCCCACCTACCTCACAGGGGGTCTGTTGTGGGGAGGGGAAGGGAAAGGAGTTGGTAAGCCGCTCTGAGACTCTGAGTGAAGGGTACGGTATAAATCCAATCTCTTCTTTCTCTTCCTCTTCTTGGTCTTCACATACCATAAATTTATCGGCTAGAGTGCCAGAAAATATTTTTTAGTTTTATGACATATATTTTTCTTAGTATTTTGAAATAAAACAATATTTCTTATATTTCTCATCATTTTTGGTGTTAATGATGATATTAAAGTAAAACAACCCTAAGAGAAACTGCATCATGCACAGTATTAACTTTTGTTACTTGTTTTGGGAAATCTTGACTCAAAGGTTATCGAATAAAAAAATTAAAGGCATCTAAGATAGTTTGGTAAATCTCTCCCCCCCCCCTGAATATTTTAAATCTATTTTTAAAACAGGTGTAGTTGTAACTTCAGAAAGATGTCTGACCAGTTTCCAAGTCCAGTAGAATTTTAAAGACCAACAAAAGTTTCTAGCATATAAGCTTTTGGAAGTCAAAGCTCACATTGTCAGATTTGACCAATAAAAAGTCTAATGGTTTCATTTTTCTTTCTTTTGACAGTCACTGTGAAAGAAACAGGACTCTGCATCACAAGAGCAGACAACAAAATATGGCTCACACTTCTAATGGGTGAGAAGAATATGTTTAAAATATCTAATTTCTTTAAAATGTTGATAAGTTTTTGATTCCACAATGTGTTTGTGAGCGATTTGATTTTGGGGGTGTATAAAGTTTAAGTAGATGTGAATTCTTGCAAGATGACCTAGAAGAATATTGTTGCTGCTGGAGAATTGTAGGATAAACTGGCAGGTTTCAACTTCATGTTATTTTCACTTTTGCTAGTGTGTACGGTTAAAGATAACAGTTGTTAAAACAAATAGGCTGTTGAAACAATGGCATTCAACTTTCTGTTCAGAGGCTATGTTAACATCCTTAGAAATTTAATAATTATTTATTTATTACCTGCCTTTCTTCCCAATGGGTACTCAAACTGGATTGCATCATTCTCCTCTCCTCCATTTCATTCTCACAACCAGCCTTTGAGGTAGAGTCGACGAAGAGTGTGAGACTGGCCCACTCTAACCACTGCACCACACTGGATCTCTAATGCAGCAGTAATGCTACCTAATGATTCAGTTTTAAACAAGCATTTTTATTTGGAGTATTTAGGAATAAAGTCAACATTTAAAGGAATTTGTGTTTCTAGTACTTAGCCTTTTCTGAGCAGAAGGACACATATCTACAGGCAGTACATTTGAATTGAGATGTATGTGCAGGCAGTATATGACCATTCCTTGTGATCCTCATGCACCAGTAATTCTTCCCTCACTGTCACTTCATCTGTCCACACAATACAACAGAGGTTCTATTGTGAAAGAGTTTTCCCCCAAGATATCTGCATGTGAAGACACGATATTGTAAGATTTCTGTACTACAGTGCCATCGTGCTGCAAGCGGGGAGGGGGGGGGGGAAGCAAACACAAAAACAGTATCATTGTACTACTGTTTGAGGAACCAGTATAGAATAACTGTAGGGATCTTTCTGTTTTGATCTTGGTCAAATTCTGAATTGTGCAGTTTTCTGTCCAAAGTGCACTAAAATACAAAGCATTGTGTAGTGTAATAATATTTTTCCAGTTCATAAAGTTGTTGCGTATTATAGTGCTGAGAATGCAACAGGTTTTTTTAAAAAAATGTTTTCAGTGCTTGTGCCTGAAGTAAGTTTTCTTCTTTCATTTTTTTTAACAGCTGCTCTTTCAGGAATCCTTCACTGGTGAGTTTATTTGTAGCATATGGCTGCAGCAGGCAAATATAATCAAGGTCCAGATTTGGGTATTGAGACCATAATTATAGTGTATGCAACTTTAAGCTGACAATGAAGAAACTGAAAGTGTTCAAGATATTCTATTTCTTGGCTCCACCATCAACTAAAAGGGAGACTGCAACCAAGAAATCAGAAGGAGACTGGCAAGGACAGCCATGGAGGAGCTAGAAAAGATTTCTAAGTGTAAGGATGTGTTGCTGGTGACCAAGATCAAGTTGATTCATGCCACAATATTCCCTGTTACTATGTATGGGTGTAAAAGTTGGCCAATGAAGAAAGGTGACAGGAAGAAAGTAGATGCCCTTGAAATGTGTTGTTGGAGGAGAGCTTTATGGATACCGTGGACCACTATAAAGACAAAGGGTTCTAGAGCAAATCAAGCCTGAACTCTCCCTAGAAGCTAAAATGACTAAACTGCGGCTATACTTTTGTCACATTATGAGAAGACAAGAGTTTGTGCAAAGGACAGTAATGCTAGGAAAAGTTAAAGGCAGCAGGAAGTGAGGAAGACCCAACATGAGATGAATTGACTCAATCAAGGAATCCGCCGACTTTTGCAAGACCTGAGCAAGGCTGTTAACAACAGGATGTTTTGGACAACGTTAATTCATAGAGTCGCCATAAATTGGAAGTGTTTTGTTGGCACTTAACACCCGCACACCCATGTTTTGTGGCTTAGGCAATAATTTTCAGTATCTTTAATCCCCCCCCCCAGTCAGACTTACAGTTCCTAGCTTTCTTTGCTTTGCATGTTTTCTTGCACACACCCTTCATCTCTCATTTTCCTCAATCAGGAATGTCCCATTTCCCAGATTGGGTGGTGGACCATTCTTATCTCTGCAGTGCTGTTGGCAGGCTTGTAACTTGTTATGTAGTGTGTCTGGGACTGTTGTTGCACTAGCATTGTTAACATTGCTTAAAATTGCATTTGCCTTTTTTGTATCTGTATCACACTGGTGATTTGTGGTAAGCTTTTGTTTTACCATAATTTTGAGACCCTTTTCACATGTACTACTGGCAGAATCTGTATTGCTGATCATATATCTGCAAATTTGATACTTGTTATCTAAATGCAGAACTTTATAGTTATCTCTGTTGAATTTCATTTTAGTAATTTTGGCACAGTTTTCCAGCCTATTTAGGTTACTGTGAATTTTATTTCTGTCTTCTAAGACCTCCCGGCTTTATGACATTTGCAATTGATAATGATTTGGATGAAGGGGTTAAAGGAATTCTTGATAAAAATGTTGAAGAATAGCATTAATGAGCATTTTATTTATTTCAGCATTCTGAAAACTTTTCTTTAAACAGCTGTAAACAAATATTATGGGCAACTTTGTCAGATGCTTCACTGAAATTGAAATTTGCTACACTACAGCTTGCTATGATAGTAACTGAAATAAAAAGAGAATCTCCAGATTTACTTTAAATATGTATTGTTTTTGTTTTTATAGGTACCATATAACAACGCTGTTTGAAAACAACAGTCACTTTTCTCATCTTTCAGCTCTGGAAAGGGAAATGGTTTTTCGAACAGAAATGGTGAGAATTTATTATACATTAAATTAAATTATTATTTTTAACTGTCATGTTTTATTTTTCAAACATCCTATGGTAATGCAATAATAGTATTTCTTGCTGTAAAGAATTATTAATTCAAACTACTATAAAATAAGCTTTTTGAGGCAAATGGATCCCTCCCTGCTTCGTACAATTCCTTTTTACTTCATCTTCAAAATCAGACAATCCTTTTGGGCAGCCTCTCTAGCAAGAGTGGGAACAGGACCACAAATCACAGAGCCCCAGAGAGAAGGATAGGGTTTCTCTTCCAAAAAGAAACAATGGATAGGTGTGGCATCAGCCACTGTGGGAAGAGAGCACTAATCCCTGCAAGGGGGTATGGTTGTTATAGGATTAATAAACCTATGGAGTGAGAGTATCTGTTGCCATTTCTAGGAGCAAGCAAGGGATGAGGAGTCCTTGCAGAATAGGCCCATGTCAGGGTGACATGGCTCAGGACCTTGAATTACTATAAACCATAAAGCTCGGAAGCCTGTTTATTCAGATTGTGTTTGCTTTCTATGTTGTTTTATGTGTTTTGCATTCTCCCACATGTATGTAATCCTCCCCTTATTTCTTTATTTCTCCCTGCAAGTATTTGCATCCACCTTCCGTTCTAACTCTGTTTTCCCCAAATTGTTCCAGATGGCTCAAATGTAAAAGGACTGGGTTATGTATAGGCCATCTCTTGAAGAAGCTGGGTTGCATGTTTGACTGAATGAGGTGTGTGTGTGACAGAGACTGGCAGAGAGTGGCCTGTTAGACTCTGCCTCCAATCTCAAAGTGACAGGTGGTAGGTAGCAGCTGCCCAGTGAGTGTGTACATGGGGGATCTGTTGTTTCAGAGGCAAGCAAAACCCAAGCAGGCTCCAGGGAAGCTAGAGAAGTAGGGCCTTACAAATCTGGTTTCCCCCTGCCCTTTCTGGAGAGCCTTTGATAATAAACAGTGCCATGCTTCATTAATATGAGACAGTTTTAAAATTATCGCTTCCTTTATTCTATTACCAACTAAAAATAGCGGAAATTTGTACTTCTAATATTGATGCTGCATTTTTAATCTTCATTTTTTTGTAAGTGAACACTTTCAACACGTTTTGTTTCTATATTGGAACAAATGCTGTTGTCTTGGAATTCGTACAATTGTTCACTTAAATAGCGCTGTATGTAATAAAGTACAGTACCAATCAATGAAATATATTGTATGTTTGATATATATGTATCAGATGAGTAGATCACTAGTGGCCTGGACAATTCTGAATAGATTTACTGCAATCTAGGACAGCACAGGAGAATCACGAGTCAAATACAAGCATTAACTTTCCAGTATATGCAACGGAGAAGATTTTGCTGTTGTATTAATTCAGTTTTCATTTGGTCATAGCAACTGAATGTAATCTCGAAAAGGTTCAGCAAGCACAGGGAGATTTAAATTAATAGCTGTTAACTTCTGCTACTAGAAGAAGATAAAGTGCTGTATATGGCATGTTTATAGAATATTATTGCTGATTAATTCTATCTATGCATATATTCTTTTTAGGGTCTTTATTACTCTTATTTCAAGACCATTACTGAGGCACCATCATTTTCAGAGGGGCTGTTGATGATTATGAATGACAACATAACTGAATATCCTCTTGTGATCAATACGCTGAAAAGGTTTAATCTCTATCCGGAGGTAGGACACCTCTTAGGAAGTGTTTTTTTGGCATGGGATGTCATTGTCATGTGCATAAATCCTATTGAAATAACTGATATTTAACAGTAACAAATTAAACACAGTTTCTTAAAAGGAAGCTGTACTGAAATGAACAGATTTTCCAGATAAATGTGTCTAGTGGGGTGTTTGTCAGAAACGCATGATCATAGTTAGGTGTACTACATCCATATGGCAGAAAGAAGTTCTTTTATAAAACAGAACTATCAATACCTTTCCTTACCAGGAAGGACCACAACTGGATCACTAGCTGAAGCTGGTGAAAGGTGCCAATGGCCACCACTGCCATCTATTTATCTAACAAGGGGCCTGGATCCAGCAGCACCCCTAAGCTATGCTCCTGCTCTTTCAGGGGGGGTTGCAACACCATCCAGAACATGAGAGGTTGCAGTTTCTGGGTCAAACCTTCCACCCTCCAGTAGCACCTCTATTTTGTTGTGATTAAATTTCATCTTGTTTGCCCTCATCTATTCCAAAATGCCTCCAAAATGAGTTCATGGTTTCCACGGCCTCCCTGGGATCTGCTGGAAGCAAGAGATAGAGCTGAGTGTCATTTGCGTATTGGTGGTAACTCAGCCCATTTTGGATGACTTGTCCCAGCAGCTTCATGCAAATGTTAAAAAGTATGGGGGGGGGGAGACAGAAACTTGTGGTAACCCCTAGGGCAGAGGCCAAGGGGTGAAGCAGCAATCCCAAGTATCACACTATGAAAGTTACCTTTGAGATAGGTCTGAAGCCACTGCAGAATGGTACCTCCTGGTTCTAACCCTGAAAGGAAGTCCAGGAGCGCTGAGAAGTCCAGGAGAATCAACAGGGTTGCACTGCTCCTGTCCATCTTTTGATTCACGTCATCCATCAGGGCAGCCAAGGCTGTTGCGATCCCATAACAAGGCCTAAAACCAGATCGTATTGGATCCAAACTATCAATTTCATTCAGGAATCCTTGAAGTTGCCCAGCCACCACTCATTCAGTCTCCTTGCTCAAGAATGGTACATTTGAGACTGGGCAATAGTTATTCACTTCTCCTGGATCCAGATTAGGTTTGTTTAGGAGTGGATACACTACAGCCCACTTTAAAACGGGCAATCCCCCCCCCCAAGGAGGCATTTACTGTCTCAGTGGGCTGCAAAACAAGATACTTCACTGAGGTGTTGATATGATCCCCAGCATTGCCCTGGATGGAAGAAGAACCAGAAAGGACAACAGCCTGCAGATGTCTCATGTGCCTTCCCCAGCATGTTTTTCTCCCACCACCACATCTCCCCCTACCCCACACCATCATGGCACCATCCCCTACCCCATTCTGCTCCCCCAAACACATCCCCGGCCAGCAGGGGATGCTAAGTCAAACAACTACACTTAAACGTTTGAGTCCATATACTGATTCTCACCTGAATCTGGGCAGGACATCTGAGAATTGCATTATCTTGTGTTGTACTTGATTTTGTTGCCCTCCTTGGGTCCTGGTTATCCTAGCGAAAGATGGCCTTATATATATTTTAAAAAATTAATCCTAATGGATTTCCTACAGCATACTTTTACAGGATACTTGTTTGGTATATTTTACCCTTTTTTCCCTTATATTTTGGCATACTCCTCCAATACACAATTTAAGCAATTTCAACAAGAATTGATCTTATTAATTCAGCTGCACATTGTTGAAAATTAGATGGAATAAACTCTTGCCTAGTGCAAGTAAGTGACTGTTGAGGCAGTTGTAAAGTAAAGGTACACTATCAGTTTCTGGATTATTATCATCTGCCTAAAGAATAAAATTTCTAGATGTCTAACAGTGCAATCCTAAAGAGAGTTACTCCAGTCAAACTCATTCATTTCAGTGGGTTTAGACTGGAGTAACTCTCCTTAGGATTGCACTGTCTATAACACAATATCTTGTTCAGTGAGGAAAGTGAGCAATTAGAAATGTGCCTATAGGACAGAGAGAGAACATGACAGTTAAATTATAGATATTTTGGTTGTAACTCTTATGATTTCACTATTGATTTTATGGGGTTCCTGCTGTCTTTATTTGTATCTCCTCCACAGTTGAGTGACAAATTATAAACACTGCTCTGGTAAAATTTGCTGAATTTCTTACTTGTAGACAGGATGTATATCGACAAGACTAGGGTGCATCATTTGCTACAGCGCTATCTGAATCTATTTTCCCTAAAACTTTGTATTTGCCCGTTCAAAATTAAGTTTTGAAATATAAATATCAGTGCCTGGAATTTCTTTTTAACGTTGGATTGAACTCATGAATACCAAGAAGATACAGAGTACAGTATATTATGTTCTGTGCATTAGCTTTTTGTGCAAAACCTTGAAAAAACCTTATCTTTTAAACTGGTTAATTCTTTGAAAAGTTAGGGTTAAACTTGTAATTATATGAAATAGGTGGTTTGAAAACACTGACAGTTGTGTGCTAACTTATCCTGTAACATCCACTGGAATTTAGTCATGCCCCATGTTTCCCTGGCCTCTGTAAAAGTAGTCAGTGATAGAGTGGGGAAATGTAGAACAGTGTGTGGTTTTAACGCAGGAAGTTCTTCTAGCTATTGACAGGGAAAGCTAAATGCATAGTGGCCTTTTTTTGTAGCACCTGTACATTTAGTGTCATTTTAATTTGGTATGGAGTATGGATTTGTTGGGTTTTATATAATTAACTTTACAGCTTGAAGTAAGTAGGAGTGTAAAAATAAAATGTGGTTTCTGGGGACAAAAAAAAGTTAAAACATCCAGCCAGTGATTAGCCATGGGTAAGCCTCTTTTAACTACAGAGATAATCTGAGACATTCCTCTTTTGAAATGATAAATCCTGTTTTCTGCACAGGTTTTGTTAGCCTTTTGGTACCGCATGTACACAGGAATGATGAGTGTTATTGGTATTTCAACAAAGAGCTGTTGGATTGTGAACAGAGGAGAAGGTGTCAGTCCTGTTGAAAGCTGTGAAGGCAAGTATTGCTTTTTCTTTGTTCATTTTGGATATTGCATGGCAGTGTGAAGTTTACAAAGGATCCTTTTGTAGAGATCAAAAAGAAAAAAGGGAAATTTTTGTAGGGCTTTGCATTGATTTAAAGGGTTTTGTCTGGTAATCATCTGGCTTATAAATCAATTGATTTTAGTTAAATGTTTACATGATACACAAATTTCAGTATATGTGTCTTTTTTAAGGGATTGAATTAAAAACACTACTACATTTTGAGCAGGGAAGGCCATTTAATATCTTGTATTTAAGGAATCTGGAAATATGGAATCATATAAGAGCACTATTTGTCCTATTCTGCAAAAGATAGATGGGAGTATGAAGATAGCTCCATTCATTGCACCCACTGCAATGAAGGCAATAGTGGTTTGGGTTTGGGGCAGAGAAGTGCTGGAAGTGCCCAACCTCACATTCTCGAGCCATCTGGATTGTCTTCTCTCCTTCCGTAATATGCTTAGTGCCAAGGTGTGTGCATGTGTCTTACAAGGTCACTGCATTACTTATAGTGCAATCCTGTGCAGAGTTATTCCAGTCTAAACCCACTGCAATGAATAGTATTGCTCTTTTAAAGGGGCAGAAATCTTCCCCCTTGCCTCTTGATAGCAATACCTCAGTGTTGGGACAGAAAGGGAGAAGGGAGAAAGGTTTATGCCATAATAGATTGTTCGGTGTTCTATAGGACCATGGACTTTTCTTTTGCTCTTTGCATTCAGAAGTCTGACATGCAAGCAGACTAAACTCCAGCCTGCTTTTGCAGTGACTGGCCACATCCTTTTAACAATCTCCACGCAGCTGTATTTATTTCTATAGTAAAACAGTAAACACATTTAGATCCAGATTTCTGATTAGTCCTTCCTTTCTCTTTCACACCAAATTATTAAACTAAAATCTGTAAAGGACAGAAATGTATAGTCTTATTCTGGATTTGCTGTCACTAATCTGATGTATATTATGCCTAGCTTGTATTTGAGAGCTAGTGTGATGTAGTGAATGAATTTACACTCAGTCGGGAGACCTGAGTTCAAATCCCTGCTCTACCATGAGATTATCTGGTTGTCTTTAAACCAGTACCTCAGCCCATCCTACCTCACAGGATTGTTCAGAAGATAAAATGAGGAAGGGAGAATGAAGATCTATGTGCAGCCTTGGCCTCCTTGGAGGAAATGAGGAATAAAAATGCACTAGATGTAATTGTAGCTTTCTGGTGTTTTCGTACTGTCTTACGTCTGTAATTGCCACATACAGGAACATTAACAAAAAAACCTATTAAAAATTATAATGGAGAAACTTATCAGTTTCTTGCTGGCTTTATTACTATGGCTTATTCTTGGCCTTTTTGGTCTGTGCTAAAGGCTGTAGAAGAAAAACACAAGGAAATCTTGTCATTTAATGTGTTGACTGTTGTGATCCTAAATCAACTTTAAGTGTTTTGAAGATACCTGTTAACCCCATCTGTATTTGCAGTAAATTTAGAGACTGCTGACTTAAGTATACTTATAGTATGAGGTACACTGTTTAACGTAGCATCCATTTAAAAGTGAATGTGTGAATTACTAATGATATGAACATTAATTGTTGTTTGATAGGACTGGGAGATCCTGCTTCTTTTTATGTGGCTGTGATATTTCTTCTGAATGGATTATTGGTGTCAGTATTCTTCATATATGGTACCTATCTAAGGTAAGATGGACAAGAGAAAAAATTAACTTTGATAAAGTGATTGCTGCTATTTATTTAAAGTATCAAAATAAAATATACATTCATTGTTTTGGCTTCTCTGCAGTCCCACATGGGGCCTGTGCAATCGCAGGCCAGCCACGTAGAAAAGAGTCTTCAAGCTTAGTAGAATTTTCCATAGTTTGCGAGTGCTTCCCCTTCCCTCTGTCTCCAGTAACTCCTTTCCTGCCCAAAGGGTCACATGATGGAGGCGGGGTGAGCACTCTCCCTTCAGTTCTCTTCTTGCTGGCATAAGGAGAACATGAGTTTTTCTGAGCTCCATCATTTTTGTCAGCTTTAGACGGCTGCATTGATCACCAGAGCTGGTAGGATGGCTTTATTTTAAAAAAAGTGAAGATTGTTGAGCCAAAATGGCTCAGAATGATGATCACAAGTCGTGTCTGTTGTGTCATGGTGAAGGGCATAATACAACCTCATGCCAAGCATCCCGCTGCCTTACCCTGAAAGCCCGTGAAGGTAGACCTGCCATGCTTAAGTCAGCCTTGTGGGGAAAAGTCCGGGGAGCCCCAGAAACCTTGACAGAAAAATGAGTCCACTCCGATAAGCAGCCACGAGCCACATCAGTGGCCTCAGTTCCAACACCTTTTATATTGGAACTGGCAGACAAATTGGCGCCGATGCACTCGACATCAGAACCGCTATCTAAAAAAGTGAAAAAGACAATAAGGCATCCACAATGGGCTTCTCCTCGGTGCTGATCAATTTCTCCTTGGCACTGACCATCACTGCCTTGGTGCTGACACACGCCATCATCTCAATCCTAGGGATTGCTTTCTCCTCAGAGTGAACAGGGCTTTCTGATTCAACACCAACTAAGTGCCTTGCCTCACAGCCAGCCATCATCACTGAGGGAGTGTTGATTGCCGTTGCCTTGATGCCAGCCATCTTCAACACAGATCGACGTTGGGGCTGAGAACACCATCACCATCAGGACACAAGCTCCATTTCTCAAGGTCTTTGGATGACAAAGTCTACAAGGACCCTTCCCACACCATGGGATCAGCAATGAGCCATAAACAACAGGCTCCCCAACCTCGGTCTTTGCAGTGGTCAATGCAACAGCAACCATAGTTTCCCATTCCTTATGATGTTTCCATCTCACTGGGGACACTACAAGAGCAGGGGCTCTCATTCCTTTGGCAACTGCCACAACTGGCCACCAAGCATAAGAAGAGTAAGGAACCCCAACCTCCACTCCATGTACATACTGAGATGGCACTACTCTCATAGTTGGAGGAGGGACTAGATCATGACTCAGAATCGGGCTCAGAGGATACCTCCATGCCATCACCTTATGAGGCTGTGGGTGAGCCATCAGCCCCGTCGTCAGTGGAGGACTTGAAACTCTACTCCAAACAACTTTAAGTCCCATTTAAGTCAGTGGTACAAATCTCAGTAAATTATTTTTGGTAGAGGCATATATTAGAAGGAAATAGGCATTTAATCTGTTCATTTGTTACCATACTTTTTATCTTCTGGCACTACAAAATACCACAGCAGTGAAACTCCTTCTGTGGCTCATGGAGAGCCACATTTGAATTATAATCAGTCAAAACAGCAGCATGAGGCTTACACCTCACAGCTTATCCATTCCTCTGGGAGCAGCTGTTTTAAGGTGTGAATCTCTTGCCAGCCACAAGCCTGAGTGATGCTTTGCCTACTTTCCTGAAACATGGGGCAGGTGCCACATTGAGGAATATTGCTTACAAGAACCACAGGTGGCATGTCAAAGAGCCACATTTGGCTCCTGAGCCCCTGAATGAGTATCACTGTACTATAGCAATAAAGAGTATGTTCCTTAGCATGCACAACTTTTATGTCACTGAAACATAAATGGACTTCTTTTTAAAAAATACATAATGATGGAAGTTCTGAGATGTAAGTGTCAAGAAGACACATTCTAAGATTCAGGGTCATTTGTAAGTAAGTGTAAAGCAACCAAGATCCAAGAACTCATTTAAAAATACTGATATAAATTGAGATATGGATCAGTAAAAATAATGAAATCATATTTTATTGTTTCATTAATCCTCTAGATGGCAGTGTTTGACTAGTAGATAGATTCATGTGGGTAGCCATGTTGGTCTGAAGCAACAGAACAAAGTTTGAGTCCAGTGGCGCCTTTCAGGCCAACAAAGTTTAATTCTGATACTGATGCACACAAAAGCTTATAACCAGAATTAAACTTTTTTGACTAGTAGATTCTTGAAGATAAGTTTATTAAAGCTTTTGGCATTTCAGATTAACAATAACATTTCTTGACCAAAGACCTGCAGATTACAGTGATCTGGGTTGGTTCTAAATCCCCAGACGTATAAAATTTGAAAACAGAAATGGTTATAAAGGGGCTTAGTCAATGCAGATAAACTTCTGGCACCCTCTAGTAGGAAAAAAAAATATTTTCATAGCTATACAGTTGTTAAGCCCAATTGAAACCTTCATTGTGCAATTTTCCTTTTGCATCTCATAGAATAACATGTTTATTATTTAAACTTCCATGGCAATGTGGGGATTTGAACCTGGATCTCCCAGATCCTAGTCAGACACTAAGCACTGTACTACACTGGCTGAGTTTTCCATAGATCCTTTCAGCTCCACTCTTCCATGTCACATCCCATGTCAAAATGGGAAGTACCTTTTCAGGGAAAGCAAAGGGCTGTTGCTAGAGGTGGAATAGCCCTGCTGTTCTTTCATAGATCTCTGGTTCAAAACCAGTAGCTCTAGGGATTTGCTAGAAAGCAAGGAAGAGCTAGCTCACTCTACCCTACTTGCCGGGTGAATAATACAGTAAATTAAACAACATAAGAGTATCTGGATCCATTTCAGTCAGGGTTCAGGCCTGGTTTTGGCATGGGAATGACCTTGGTCGCTCCGTGTGACGACCTATACTGGGAGCGAGACAGGGGGAGTGTGACCCTGTTGATACTACTGGACCTCTCGGCAGTTTTTGATATCATTAACCATGGTATCCTTCTGGAGCGGCTGGCTGAAGTGGGAATAGGTGTCAGCTAGCTGCCATGTTTTGCTTGTTCCCTTCTCTGATCCTGGCGCTATGGCGCATGCCTCATAGCTTGCTTGCTGCTCTGCCGCTTGCCGTAAACAGCGATAGGGAGACTGTGAGAACCAGTGCTGCCAGATTGAGTTATCTGTCTGACCTTGTGACGGGAGGGAGGGCTGGCATTCCACCGCAGGTGTGAATTTTTCAGCTCTCATGGGGCACTGAGACTCTCCCGCTTATTATGTAACTTTCCGCTGGGAGAATTCCCGCGTGCGTGTTCGGATTTCATTTGCTTAGCCATTTGCCTCATCCTGCTATATGTAGGGATGTTTCCGCCCCATGGTCATTCCTAACAATAATCTTGTGGACATGGTAACAGACTTGTAGTCTAATACCTGACAGTAGGGGGCACTGCATTGCAGTGGTTACATTTCTACTTGGAGGGCCATCTCCAGAAGGTGGTGCTTGCACCCCTATCTGGACATGGATATCCTGGTTTCAGTGATCTATGCTCTGATAATCTCCAGATTGGATTACTGCAATGCACTCTATGTGGGGCTGCCCTTGAAGATGGGTTGGAAGCTGCAGCTGGTGCAGAGCGCCTCTCCTGGCCTCAGTCTACCCAGGCACTGTGCTCAGCCTCTGGGGCCTTTCTCCAGGTGCCAACTCCTTGAGAGGCTCGGAGGGTGGCAACTAGGGGGAGGGCCTTTTCAGTGGTGACCCCCTGTCTTTGGGTCAACCTTCCTGCTGCAGCCCGCCTGGAACTAAATTTGCCATCTTTTCGGCGCCAGGTTAAAACAGCCCTCTTCACAGAGGTCTTTAAAGATCTCTTTGGTCATTCAGGGGTCCGATATGATTAGCTAGGTGTCTCTGTTAGTTTTTCTTTACAGTTTTTACTGTTTTGTTCTTACATTATTTTATATTAATCTTATGTTTATTGTATGTTACTGTTTTATATTTGTAAATGCCCAGAGAGCTTTGGCTATGGGCAGTATAGAAATTAAATAAACAAATAATGTTTTCAAGGCTTGTGTCATCATGTGACTCAAAAATATTCCTGAGTGCACAGTGAATCCAACTTGATTACTGGCAATGCTGAGATCCTCTGTTATGGTCACAGTTGTGTGGGTCGCTGCTTTTTTGCTGTGATTAGAATGAAGCTATGGAGTGGGCCACTTGGTTCTGATTTTAAAATGTCAAGTAGTTACCTTTTGATTTTGTTAAATTGTGTTTCTCTTAGAATATTAGACAATCTACATGTGTGACATTTATTTTTTGCATGAGATATAGTTGGATTGCCATTACAATAGACCTTTGCTAATTTTGGCATGTCTGCTCTTAAAGTTTGCTATTACACATCAGTCAAGGATGCATCATTTTGTATTGTACATTGTCATACCTATAGATGTTATTTTGAAATTTCAGTTCTGTTACTTAATATCTGGTAAAATTTATAGAGAACTGTATGTAAGCACAAATGAAGAAAATAAAGCATCCAAAGATATTTATTAGGCACCATAAAGTAGTTGAGACATAAGTGAATGTTTATTCCTTACCCTGAATGTTTGCATCTTTGCATTTTCAGTATCAGGTTAATGGTGATTATGTATTCAGCTAACTGCAGGATCTCCTGGTTCAAACATTACATTCTGCACACAGGCTAGAGGAATGGGGAGAAAATATGTAAGCCTGACCACTGTAGATTTTGCCACATGTACTTGAGGGCAGTTAAGAATTAGCTGTTTGGTGTTTGAATGGTTCATGAACACTTCTTTTGTCAGTCATAGAGTGAATAATTTGTTTTTAATTTTATAGACAAAACCTTTGAAAGCTGAGTTGTTTGCTAACTCTGAAAATTACAAGATTTGTTGCAGTTATTATTTTTTCCCACAGTGGGAGCAGATTTGGAGGACTATTAACAGTGGCATGCTATTTCTTCAACCATGGAGAGGTAAGCTATTCAGAATGTTAGTCTTTGCTGTAACAGAAAAGGAGATACTTTGATCTTCTTCGTGGTCTCTGTGCTTCACACCAATGGGATCTAGTGCGCCTGCGCTGGATCTGCCGGTGCCTAGCAAGCTCTCTTAAAAGGATTTCCGTGCCTGGTCCAACTGAGCATGCTCAGGAGCCCCAGTGAGCATGCCCAGAAGGGCAGGCACGGACATCCCGCCAGTTCTTTCCTTTCCGCCGCGCTGAGCAGACCTTTCTTCGAGAGGTCTGGCCGGATCGCTGCTTTTGGATCACTTTTTAGTGATTAGCTCTCGTTTTTCACCTCCGTTTTTGTTCAGTTTCTCTTTCTTTTTCTGTGTTTTTTTTTTAAAAAGGAGACTTTTTGTTTTTCGTCGTCTGAGGTAAAATTGCCTCAGGCCTTCGGGCCTCTGGCCCACCCCCCCCCACACCCTCCTTGTCGCTGGCTTTTTCTCCTCAGTCTATGGAGAAGAAGACAAAAAAGTCAAAAAAGTGGGGATTTTTCAACCGTTGTCGTACTTGTGGAAGTAAATTGGCTCCTCCAGACGGCCATAAGTACTGTATCTTCTGTCTTGGGGAGACCCACAAGCCAGACTCTTGTGAACATTGTGCG